AGTATTATATTTGTAAGAAATATAATAGTACATTTTTCTATTTTCCCCACAGCTAGCTAGGGTGACTCAACCTATGCTTTTGATGAAGTGCAGCCTCCGTTTTGAATTAAACAGTGCATCATGAATGAGCTGCCCCATAATCATTCACTTAAAAAATCCCTCCCATCTGCTTCTGCCAATGGGTCAGTTGCCATAGAAAGGGTGGCATAATTATATGGTATGGGCACAGCAAAGTGGGAGTCGGGAGACCCAGGTCATCGTCATAGCTCTTAGAGTACCACTGTGGCCTCAGACAAGTTGCTTAATCTCTCTAAACCTTATTTTTAATTAATAGCATATTGAGGGTACTGGGTAACATGTTGTTGAGGAAGATTTTCATCTCTAAAATTCTGTGACATTATTAAAATGTTTATTGCATGTAAATCACTTGATAGTTATGAATAAATGAGAATATTTATTCTTATACATTAGCTATGCAATATTTGGCATAACACATAGCCAAAGCAGTCAAGAAGCTTATCTCATATTTAAATAGGCTTTTAACTTCTAGAAGGCACAAAATTCTCAATGAAGATAATTTCATTAACTATACCTTAAAAATCTGAAAAGTACACTGAGCTGACCACTCTACATCCTTTTATTAGGTTGCTTTTAATTTACTACTCGGTTGGTCTGTAATTCTGTGGGTGTTAGATTTTGTTGTTGTTTAAGAACAGTTTATTGATTTTTAGAGAGAGAGGAAGGGAGAACAGAGAAACCATTGTGAGAGCACAACATTGATCGGCTGCCTCCTGTATGTCCCCACCATGGGATTGAACCTACAACTTGAGCATGTGCCCTACTGGGAATCGAACCAGCAACCTTTTGGTGCACAGGACAATGCCCAACCAACTGAGCCACACCAGCCAAGGTGTGGGTATTAGATTTTGAATGCTAGGTGGCACCCTGGTAAAAGCATGGTTTTTAGAGTCAGGGAGACCTGAGTTTGAACTCCAGCATTTTACTGTGGACAAGAAGAGAGAAGATTCATATTTTTCTCATCTGCGAAATGGGGATGATAATGCCTATTTCTTGAGCTTCCCTCTATTCAGATGGGAACACTTGTGGACTGTGTAGCACAGAACTTGTGGCAGGTGCTAAAGCAAGGAAGAAACTCACTAACACTTTTTATAAAGTAAAAGGCAAAACCAATGTTCCCTTTCACCCTAATTCTACTCCCCAGAGGTAACTAGGAAGGAAATCATGCTAGAGTTTAGACAGAAGCATGCCACAGTTTAAGTTCTGCCAGAAGCAGATAAAATTTGTTAAAAGCAACATTTACTTTCACTACTCGGCATCTCCCAGGCACACCTGTGCTGTCCCATCTCTGTCCACTGGCACGTCCTTGTCCTTCCCCTCCTCTCCTCATAAGCACCCACAGGAAGCTCTCTGTGCACACTCTCTGATCACCCCGCTGTCCGTCTCTCCTCATGCTCTGACCGTCAGACCCCTTCCTCTCGTCCTCCTTTCATATCGTGCTGTGTCCAGGCGGGTCTTGTAAGACTGCAAGTGCCTTGGAGACAGGGTCTTTGTTGTCTGAAACTTTACAACAATGTACGTATACTATCTAACACTGTTCCTTCCACACATTAGCTGCTAGTTAATAAACATAGTTTAAAATTGTGCAAAATATTTGAAAACATTAGAAAATAACTGGTGAGATTTTGATTCCAAAGATGGAAAATTCGAAGTCACGTTTCTAAAATAAAGGCATTTGATCATTCTGGAAAACCCCCTATTCATCTTGAGCCATATACAGTTTTTGCAGACCTCCCGGGAGTCATCTCTGATAGAGGAATCCATATGCAGGAGAGGAAGGAAGAAGGAAACTGCTATAAGATGCACTCCCCAGACTAGGTAGCAGGCCCCTCCCCCCAAACCCCATCCCTCATCAACTCACAAGAATGGGAAGAAAGAGGAAACCACTGCCTGTGCTTTCTTTGTCAATAAACACCAACTGAAATTTTACAAAGCAAACGCTTCTTAATGAAGCGAACTTGACACTGCCGCCGCGAGCAGGCAGCTGAGCACGGGAATCATGTCCACAGTGAGGCAGGTACATAGGGGCGGCAGAGGAGACTGTGAGCATGAGGTGCTCCCATAACCCCCTTTCTCCCCTCAGTCCTCCTGCAGCCTGTGCCAAGTGCGTCATGGGTGGAAAAGGCCATTTTCAATCTAAATCTTGTTTCAGATTAATAAGCAAACATTTTCTTGCTTATTATGCAATTTATCACGATGAAAATTACATTGAACTCCTCAAGGCTAAATGCTGATGCATTCATTTATTCGGAGCGGTGTATAGAGTCATACTAATCTTCATGACAGAAAAGGATATAATAGCAAGGTGTAAATTACTTACCGGAAAACTATAGTATTTGTGTCTGTAGACATACTACATGTAGATAAAACATAAGTGCATCTTTATGTTTGCTGATAAAAGTTTCATGTAAATGTATCCAAAAATAAAATATTAAATACAAAACCTAAAATAAAGAAAGGCCTACCACTTCTCTTCCTAGGCAACAAAATAAGAGTGGATACTCTTGAAATTGTGTTTAGTTCCGATTTGAAAATAATCAAAAATATTAAATCAAAGTAAAATTTTAGACAATCAAAAGGTGTGAAAGGCTTCCTAGGACACCCAGGGAGCTGTGGTCAGCAGCCAGCACGGGGCTCTTTGGAGGGTGTGCATGGCACCCACAGCCAGGGAAGGGCAAAGGCTGGAAACACGTTCTGGTGCTTTGCTCAAAGGCCAGCTGCCTCTTACTATGGCCACAAACTCAAGAGGGCTCATATTTCCTCCTAATCCTTAAAGTCAGTCGAGAACCTTCCGACCTTCAGTATCCATAAACTATGCTGGCTCCCACTATGTCGAAATGTTCATTCTAGAAATGGGCAGGACCTGATTTGCTGAGCACCAGGACAATGACCCTGCACTACCACCAGGTAGGTAGCATTTCATCTTTTAGCTAATACTCTTCTAAGCACTTTGCAAATATAAACTTGTTTCATAGCAACCTTCTGAAGTAGGTACTTTAATTAGCCCCAAGTATAGTTGGAACTGAGAGAAGAGATGAAGTAATTTGCTGAAGGGCATACAGCCAGGGAGGCACCCAGGTGAAGTTGGGGAGCATGGAGCTATGAGGTGATAGGGAGGACAGCTGCCTATGTTTGAAATAAATACCTGCCTCCTACCAATCAGTCCTGGGATTTGGGGCTGGGCATGTCCGGTCTGTAGACAAAGTCAAGCCTTCAAGTCTAGGCTTCACTTGTTTGTCTGGTCCCCACTTTCTGAGCCCAGAGCAGTGTCAGAAAGACTACAGTCCCAAGCATGCTGGAACAGAAGAGAACTTGGGGTCTGAGAAAGGCAACCAAGAATAAAAGGGCAGAGAACCCGAGGTTTTTGTTAAAGATTAACCATGATAAGAATGAAACTCCAATCATTGAGAAGATCAAAGAGGTGATCAGATTTACACTAAGAGGGACATCATGGGACAGTTCCAGAATTCCTACCACTAGGCATTCACACTCACAAACAGAAAGAAGTGCTGGTGAGGATGCAGAGAAAATGGAACGCTTGTGCATAGCTGGTAGGAATGCAAAAACGGTGGAGCCACTGTGGGAAATAGTGGTTCCTCAATAATAATTTAAACATAGAATTACCATATGACTCAACAATTCCATTGAAAATAGGTATTCAAACCAATACCTGTGCATGAATGTTCATAGCATCATTGTTTACAATAGGCAAAAGGTAGAAACAACCCAAATGTCCATCTACAGATAAGTGGATAAAAACAAAATGTGGTACATCCATTAAATGGAATATTATCCAACTATAGAAAGGAAGTTATTAATACATGCTACAACATGAATGAACCTTGGAAAGATGCTAAGTGAAAGAAGCCAGACACAAAAGGCCACATATTGCATAATTGCACTTAAATGAAATTTTCAGAATAGGCACATTCATAGATAGAAAACATTAGTGACTGCCAAGGACTGGGTGGGGGTGGGAGTGGGGAGAATAGGGAGTGGTTGCTTAATGGATACGGAGTTTCCATTTGGAGCAACTACTATGGGAACTTAGAGCAGTGATGGCTGCATAACCTTGTGAATGCACTTAATGTCACAGAATCATTGCTTTAAGATGACTATAGTGGCAAGTTTAATGTTATGAGCATTATATCACCAAAAAAAGGGGGGGGGGCTTCCTCCAGGAATCAGGAGGCTGAATTCTCAAGTCAACACTACCCTCTCCCACCCACCCCCCGACCCACACTCCTAGCCATTCCTGACCAAGTGTTTCCATTTAGTTCATTTTAGCAAGTCCCTCAGCTCATCTTCCTACTCCATTACTGTCATCATTGCTCCCTAGATCATTGCAACCTCCTATGACTGGTCTTTTACTGTGTGCAAGTAAAACCTCAATAAAGGCGATTTAAAAATCAAAATGAGTACAAAGAAATAATGCCCCAAACTATCTGGTCACACATTCTATTAGTAAAGCAATTTGGGAAATACAGTTTTCCTTATAAATGATGTTTATACTATCATTAGCTAACAATCACAATAAACAATTTTAAAATTGTTACTGACTGATCATTCATGGGCTCAATGCTAAATCCCAATGGTGTTAAAATTACAGGAACAAACTTCCCTTTCATTGTCCACATCCAAAATTTCACATATTGAGAAAACACACAATTTATAAAGGGTAATCGCTGGCAACAAAAACCAATCGCATTAACTGGAACGGAGCACGTACTTGGCCAGCTGCTTCTCAGCGTCAGCACAGAGTTCCAGCAGCCCCATGAGGACGGCAGACACATCCATGTAAGGCTCCCACACGGTGAACCCGCGTCCAATCAGATCGATGGCTGTTCTCCGGATGGTACTGTGCGGAGGAAGCTTGGGGCTCGGCGGCTGGAGCAGAAGAAACGTCAGTGCTTTGCCTAAAATTACAAAATAAAAGGCAGAGCAATAAAGTAATATTACTTTTGTGATGTTTTCTTTCAAGCATATTTTCAAAATGTAAACCACTTTGGATTTCTTTCTTTTCTTTAACCGAAAAAGGGTTTTGAACAGAGAGATAGATTATGAGAGATCTTGAGTTTAGTATGTGACTGAGCATTATGTAGGTGACAATATTTCATACCATATTCTGAAGTGTTTTAATTTCATAAAAAGTACATATAAATAAGTATACACAACTTCAAAACCAATCAGTGATCCTAAATTTCCAATGTTTCTCCCTATTAAGCATTTTGCAAGATGCAGATGGCTTCAAATGATAGACTATGGGGTTTCTTCACCTTTCTTCTGCATCTAACAGAATTCACATGTCAAACACTTCCCACCGTGACACCTCTCATTACAAACAATGTTCACCCACAGGGTGAGGGATGGAGAAGGCAGAGCATGTAGCGTGAAAAAGTGTTCCCTCCTAAGTGTGTACCTCCTGCACTTCCTGGTGTTATTGAGTATGAGGGTGTCAGGTGTGCAGGAAATTCTTCATGCAGTTGGTTAAATTAAATGCAGCTTGCCCAGCCAGTGTGGCTCAGTGGATGAGCATTGACCTATAAACCAGGAGGTCACGGTTCGATTCCCGGTCAGGGCACATGCCCGGGTTTCGGGCTCGATCCCCAGTAGAAGATGTGCAGGAGGCAGCTGATCAATGATTCTCTCTCATCATTGATGTTTCTAGCTCTCTCCCTCTCCATTCCTCTCTGAAATGAATAATAATAATAATAAAAAACAAATACAGCTCATATGATGTCTAAATCTGTTGAAATGATCTAGATTTTAATTAACATGTCCTACTTTCTGGTGAAGACAATGCTGACAGTTTGTACACATGCGCCCAGTGGCACTTAAGCTGCAGAAGCCCTTCTCCTTCAAAAGGCATTCTGACATTTAAAAAAGAAAAGCATGAGAGACTGTGAAGAGCAAACTGCAATTTAGAAGAGTTTTTTTTTTTTTTTGGTGTGTTTGTTCTTTGAGAGAAAGAGACAAAAACAGTTTATAAATCATCCAATAGTAGACTGGGTAGGGGAGCACAGGCTTCAGATTTAAGACAGAGGATTAACCACAGTTTCATAACTTATTAGGGGGCAGGCTTAGGATGGGACTCAGTGAGCCTCAGTTTTCCTGCCTGTAAAATGGGGATAATTATAGTTAACTCTTATGAAGCATCTGAGTGTGAAATGAATGTTGCCATAAGTGGCAGTCAGGGCTTAGTATGAAAAACATGTTGAGCTGGTTTGTCTTCAAAAGTAGGAACGTGGCATATAAACTTCAGTGCATTCAACAACGACAAACACTTATGTTATGGCCGACTGCTGAGTGAGAATGGTTGAAAAGGAAGCGAAGAGAGGGAAAGGGCATTGCAGAGCCAGGACAAGCGTCCGTGGCTGCAGTCTGTAAGTTAGCGGATCTGAGCTTCTTCTCTGTACAGACCCTTCAAGAATCTGTTGAAAGCCATTGGTCCTTTCCTCAGGCAACTACATACATATACTTATCTACCAAATTCTGCAGAAAATATCTCAGGAGGCCATGGCCCTTGGTCTAACACTGCCTGCAGTAAACAAAAAAGATACCTATATAGGGAAAGCCTCCTTGAGAAACCATCCCCCGACTCATACTTCATTCATGCATGCATTTGTAAATTTTACTCTCACACTTAGCCATGTAAATGTATGGAAAGCTTCAAGTTTTGTGGATCACAAGAATATACACTCCTTTAAAAGGGTGGTCTATTGTTCTCCATTGTCTGCCAGCACTTGTGTGCCCTGTACCACAGGATGTTTTTAAATGCAAGCATTTCTGCGCACTTCCCTTTTCCTCAGCAGGTGCCTTGAGGGTAGGACTGTGTTTCATATAACTTTGTGTCTCCCCAAACACCAAGCACAGAGCTTCGCACACATTATGGACCTAAACGGGAAGATAGGTCTGCCTTTACGGCATGCACATTTCTAATGCAGCTCCCTGCCCCAGCTTGTCAGAATAATACTTCAAAATGTCCACAAGTCTACCACTTTCTGTGTCTTCTTTACTACTAGGGGCTGCAGACAAACCTCCCCCGCTGTTCCCTGTGGACGCCCCGAAACACCGCGGAGATGGCTTCCAATCTAAGGGCTAGGGCTCCCTGGAGGTGTATCCTGGGTAAGTGATATTGCAAAGGGGAAGTGAAGTTCCCTGAGTACCATGTTTTATAGCATTTCAATCATCATTTTCCTTAACTGCCCTCTCCCCGTTCTGTTCTGTATTCGTGACAGGGGAGAGCACTCTGGCAATAGAGGGACCTGGCTGGTTTTTCTGCGGTGAGAACTCTAGAGGCAGCTTCCTCACCACTCTGACAATTTCTTTTCTGGTGAGCAATAATAAACAATAAGTGGCCGATTTCTTGCTATTTTCCATCATTTTCCTGACAAAGTTGGAAGCCCAGCCTAGGGGATGTGATCACTTGCCCTCCGATGAAATGACAGAGAAGGGAAAACAGTAAGGGTTCTCTGAAAGACCCCTGGCCCTGTATGGCCACAGCAAAGGGTGACCCTCCCCCCCTCAGAGCGAGGATGCCCAGCCCAGCAGGAAATGCAGGTTCCCTGTGGCCCGTCACCCCTCCCCCTAAATCACTTCTCGCAAACAAACGTCTCCTCCAGCATCTCTCCCTCTTTAGCTCTCCTCCAAGTCTCTGGTAACACAGGGCACAGATCCCCTCAGCTCTAGCAGGCCAGGGTGGGGCATCGAGAGAAGCAGAGAGAAAAATGGCCTGTTTAACTCTATCCCCAGTGGGGGGTGTGCAGGAGGCAGCCAATCAATTATTCTCTCTCATCATTGATGTTTCTATCTCTCTCTCCCTCTTTCTTCCTCTCTGAAATCAATAAAAATATTTTAAAAAATAAAATAAAATTCCACATCTGTCTCTGACAACTTATTCCAAACAAGACATATAAATAATAAAAGATAAGAGGATTTACAAGTTAAAACTTTGGTTTCCAGCCTTGTTGATGAATAGGATCCTTACGACTTTAATGCTACCAGCATTAATGACACTTATGTTCTGAAAAAACAATCTAGGATGCCTAAGACTTCAAACTTCCTAATCACATATTCTTCTTGCTGACACCAAGGAACCAACCTTTAAAAAATGGTATGATAATAAAAAGGGATAGATAAATGTATGCTTTCCTCAACTTATATTCTCAAATTTAGGGTTGATTTAACTTACAATTCCAAATAATGTAGGTGTTCTGCAAAATGGACCATGGTGATAAAAAAGCTAAAATTAAGATGACAGTACCTTTCCTATTGATAGAAAAAGTCTCATGACTAGAATTTTGTGAATTTGAACTTTACCTGTCAGAATTTTCTTAAGTGTTTGGTACCCAATAAAGGTTGTATTTTAACATGTACAGGATAGACTCTACATTTGCACAGAAATACAAATTGACTTATTTTACATAAATGCCCCCCTTCAGTATCCCATAGTGACTCACTGAGTAAGCACGTGGGCAACGATCTGCCATCATAACTAACTCCTTCATAAAAACTCTCCAGTGGCAGTATTAAGAAAAAGTCTCATGACTAGAATTTTGTGAATTTGAACTTTACCCGTCAGAATTTTCTTAAGTGTTTGGTACCCAATAAAGGTTGTATTTTAACATGTACAGGATAGACTCTACATTTGCACAGAAATACAAATTGACTTATTTTACATAAATGCCCCACTGCAGTATTCCATAGTGCCTCAGAGTAAGCACATGGGCAACGATCCGCCATCATAACTAACTCCTTCATAAAAACTCTCCTGTGGCAGTATTCACAGAACTTAACCGAGGCACTGAACCCCATCTCGGGGATTTGAAAAGGCTTCCGGGAAAGGTGACTTCTATACCAAAACCTAATGCATAGGTAGGAATTAGCCACTCAGAAAGGAAGAGTAGGGAAAGAAACCACTCCAGGCAGAGAGAATAGCATGCCTAAAGACCAGGTGATGAGCAAGAATATAGCAGGATCAAGGGATTATGCAAAGTTCAACATGGCTGAAAATGTTGTTGGGGGAGGGAAGGGATTTCGGCAATGGCAAGGGGGAAGGAGCGCAAGGTGGATGGAATGTAGCGGTGAGACATGAGGCAGGACAGGTTCTTAGAGCCTGATCACAAAGGCCATCTGTGCCATGCGAAGAGTCTGTTTATTCTGGTGACAATGGGAACCACTGGAAAGTTTTAATCCAAAAAGGAGTATGATCAGATTTTCATTTTAGAAATCAATGTTTAGACTATCTTGTGACTAGAAGAGGGCAAGCCCTATTGCCTTTTAATTGTGATCTCTCATCCCCAGACAAATGGATTAATTAGAATCACAGAATTTTCTAGTTAAAAGGGCTTTGGGAAAACCTGATCTATTCCTATGCTTTGGATGAAATAACTGAGAACCATAGTAGGTAAGAGGCAATATTTTATTCATGACACTACCCAGCTATGGATTCAAAACTTATATACTTTATGATTAATCTCTTCCTCCCTCTGAATTACAAAATACATGAAGCTGCTGTTATCAGTGTCTCTACAAAACAGATTAAATAAATTATAGGTTTTATCTTTTCTCATACAATGAGAAGGTTGCTGTACCTTGTTCAACAGCTAAATATAGCCATACTAAGTTCCTCTGATTATCTTGGTTGTAACTTAGTTGAATCATGGTCTGCATCTTCCTTATTGTCCACCCAGCACTGCATCTTCCTTACGGGCAGGAAGAAGTAAAAGGATGAAGGGCAAAAAACATGTGCCAGGTAAGTCAAGCCCCCTTTTAAAGTCTGATTACATTTCACTGGCCAGAATTATATCACACAATAATTACCCTCGTTTCAAGGAAAGATGGGAAATGTAGTTTGTGAGCTGGGCACACAGCTATCTTTAACAAAACTGAGTGGGGGTTTTTTGTTTTTGTTTTT